ACAGGCGAGAACAACTTCTTAACGACACGGAGAGAAATATTCAATAAAAATTATGTATCTTTTCCGTAATTCCGGAGCGCAATGTGGTTGTAGGAAATTTTACGGAACTGTCACGGAATTTTCCCGGAGCGTTCCGTAATTTTTACGTGAATTTACTGTCGATTCTGCAATCGGTGAGCGAACTGTCAGTTCCGTAATTTTTACTGAACATTGCTCTCCGTGGACAAGAAAGCGATTTCTCAATCCACGTAGAATTGAGCGAATTCATTTAATAGTTTTTTAGAGTCAGTCCTAAAATATTTTATTGCAAAAACCACTTGAATGGATGTGAGAACTTGTTTTCTTGATATGAACCAATTGCTCTCATCTTTTAGACAAGTATAAAATCTCTTGGCGTCAGTTTTTTTTCCTTAGTGGGACATATTGTGGGCTTAGTAATTTTCAACTCATGAATTTCTTGATACAAGTAAAGATGTACTTTTAAAAAAACTCTTGTCTGCTCAGTGTAATGCTCCTCCACTTCGCTCAATAGACTGTTTCGTATTATCGGATTGTAGAAGAGATGTTTGAAAAGACAAACGACAAAAATTCTCATAAAAACTGACGTACTTTATCCACTTCACCATCTTTGTACCAACGAGGATGGGAATGGATATAGCTTACTCATTGGTTGCCATTACATTTCTTTTGAATCATGCATGCATTTTTCCCTTCAACCAGAGTATCTATTTACCTTTCTCCTAGAACGTGGAGTCTTAAAAAAGGGAGCATCTCGTCTGAGTCTCGGAAGACCCAGTATACACGGAGAAAAGAGTTAGAGAAAAATTACCAAAAAAGTTAAGTAATCCTGGAGCGAACTCGATTTTAAGTAATTTTCAGCCTATATCGGGGAAAAAGAGTGGGACGAATAGTGAATTTTTCTCCGTCAGCTCAGGAAAATTTACTGTACGTGAGCGTAATTTGTGCCGAAATTATAAAATTTACCCTGCATTCCATCAAAAACTATCCCCGTGAACGAGAATGATTGCTCAATATTTGTTGTGGTTGTAGAAAATTTTACGGAACTGTCACGGAATTTTTCCAGAGCGTTCCGTAATTTTTATCTGAATCTCCTGTGAAAAATTACGATACCGTCACTTAAATTTTCTGAGTCGATTCCGCAATCGGTGAGTGAATTGTGAGTTCCGTAATTTTTACTGAACAGTGGCGAATATGAGTTTGCAGCCCGAGCCGAAGGCGAGGATTGCAATCATATGAGCTAGAGAAGTTTTTTTAGGCCATATGTCGAATGATATTTTTTGTCATTGCGGCCGCAGGCAGCAATTTACGAACGCGTAGCATTCGTAAAGCGCTACACGGATAGAAATTTTTGATAAAAATTAGCCTATCTTTCTATAAAAGTGTATCATGAGTCATCGTTTCCTCATTTCTATCCCGAAATTTAGTAAAAATTGATAGGTGATGATCAAATTTTGTTCTACGTTAAAGGAATTTTATCCTGATAAAAATAAAAATTACCGTACCGGGAGAGTAAAAATTACTGTACCGGTAGAGTAAGATTAGACAAATTATACAAATTATTGGACTGGAATGGTAAAATTTCTCTAACATAGAATAAAATTTGATCATCATATATTAATTTTTACTGAATTTCGGGGTAGAAATGAGAGAACGATGACTCACGATACACTTTTATAGAATGGTAGGATAATTTTTATCAAAAATTTCTCTCCGCGTAGCGTTCATAAAGCGCTACCTTATGGCTGGAGTGACGAAAAAAATACTCTACCGGTGTGAGAAATTCTACTGTATAGGAGGATAATTTTTGCATCCATAGATGTGTTTTTTGACTGAACGAATCGTAAAATATCCTCCACAAACAGGTATTTTTCATTGAATTACATTTCGCTTCACCATTACCTTTCGTAATATAAAATTTTCCATGATTTTCTAGGTAATTTTCATCTAACTTTTCTCTCCGTGTATCTGATCGCGGTTTCGAGGATTTTGCGTTTTTTATGTGTAGAAAACCGAGACGAGGCAAACCGAGACTAAAATCGAGACTTACTATGAAAAAAAAAACAAGAAAAACTAAAAAAACGTGATAAGAAATTGTGTCAGAGTACAGAGAAGTTTCTAGTTTCATGAGAGAAAACGCATTGGTTCCCAGTACTGAAATGCAGTACCCATGGTACTTAAATTAAGCCACTTTGCATCTGAAATTCAATACTTTGGGTTCTCAAAAGAAGAACTGTTGAATACTGAAATCAATAACCCTGGGGTTCTCATAATAAGAATCACTGGATACGGAAATCAAGAACTCCGGAGTTCTTAAAATAAGAACCGTTGAGTACTGACTTAAAAAACCATAGAGTTCTTAAAATAAAATCTTCAGGTTGTTAAATTGACATCTTTGTTTCCTCTAATTACTTTCACTAATTATGGTGCGACGTCACAAATTACAGAACTTCCTCCCCTCCTCAATCGCATGGAGCAATATTTGAATCCCCCAACGGTTTCCAGTGTCGTATTGCCGGAAACCAAAAACTTTTCTCTTTCTGTGAGAAAACGATCCTGCGTCGTTCGACACTGAGACGAGACCAGAGATTTCCATGTTCATTGAAACAGCCAGTCCCTCCAAACTGAAGTCTCGCTTGAGTTTCGGGCTCGCCCCTGACTCTTTTGGACACGTATTCCTCCCTCAAACATTTTGGGGGAAAAACAAAATCCTTCGTGATATCTCACCCAGATGCTACCCCGTTATTCAACCGAAACTCCATTTTCTGTTGACAGATAGAGGAAGAGTTGCCGGAAATAACAGCAGAAGCGAGAAGCAAGGGGATGGCGAACGAGTCATAGATTAGCCTTGCACTTGAGGATAAAAAGAATCCAGAAATAGTATCAACAAAATAAATAAGAAAGTTGGATAAACTGTAGGCGCCTCGGCGGTAATCAATCCTCGGGTTTATGCAGGTGCTGATTGGCAGCCCGAAACATAGATAATTCCCAGGAACATCTCACAAGAAACGTGATTGTATGAAATATACATGAAGTCGGATGCTGCTATAGTGGGGAGAGAAATATCTTGTAAACAGTTGATAGCTTGACCGGGCTCTGCAGCTCGTGCAGATTGGCATTGAACTTGTCTTCGAACTAGATCGATTGATTATCAAACAACTAATGGCGACGATAGCCCCAGAGCGTGATGATATGGTTGCTGATCATCCCCTGGACCCCTCAACGAAACTTCAAACTGATGGTCAAGTCTTGGTGGATTTGGCGCTGGTGGAGGAGGCTCATTGTCCTCCCTGAATATGCAGGTAGCATTCAGCGACGCGATAGAACCTGCGGCTGCAGTTGTTAGTAACAGCAGCTCCCCTGAACTACTTCTTCTTGCCTCTGTCCACAACATTGCCACCCAACTGCCTTCTCAAGTCAACTCAGCTCATGCTCTATCTATGTGTATGTTTTATGTACTAATTCTACTGTATTGGTAGTACGTGAGACATTCGTGCGCGCGTCCATGTGGCCCGACACGAGAGCTAACCGACCAAGTGGCCCGAACCGTGCCGGAGAAGAGAACCGCGCGGCACTCGTTCAGTAGTTTCTCGGACGCCGCACCGGCATCATCCAAACTCCCATGAACCGAGAGAGAGAGAAAGAGAGAGGAGATAAACCCTGATCAGTTGCAAACCTCAAGTGCCTATCTCAGTGTCCACCCCCATCATATCATTTTACAATCCGTAACCATTTGCTTCAAATTTTCCATCGCAAGACGATTGCAGTTATTTTCGCAGACAACATTCACCTCATGCCAACTTTGATGTTAAGGGTGGTTTAAAACTTCTACCACATAGATATCACTTAAACGTCATTATATTTGATTGGTTCAATGATCTGTGGGGCTTATCGTGTTGGCATTCTCAGCGACACGCGGGTGAATTATCATTAGTGAATGACAACAAGTGACGTGCTATTGTGAGTGAACATGTGTGAACGTTGAATGAGAAAAGGATCGGACAACCACGTGATAATGTCTGATTGTCAGGAGGAATATTGATCAGGAGATTACCAACAGTTGTATGCAATTTTTGGCAGTCATACTTGATTGATATTGAATGCACTCATACGGTATAACACATCAGTGTGAAACGAGAACAGAGAGAGGAAGAGGAAAGAAGAAGACCCGTTAAGGCAAAACAAGGGACGTGTCGGACGGTTACGTTCTTGCGATTGATAGAGGAAGATCGGCTTTGATGAAGTGAGAGGGGTAATATCAAGTGCAGTATCTGTAGGCTGGACGAGAGGCAGGGATGTGCGAGGTCGTTGGAAGGTAACTGGTATAGCAATCGAAGACGTGTGTACTGTATTGTGCAGCATCCCATTCGTCTATATACAATTGAAACGTAGAAAAAAAGGTGGGATAGTAACTCAGAATGTACTTGTGGACGAGGAAGCCGTCAGTGCCATTGGGACAGGACGAGTCCGCAGAATGATCAGACTCGATTGGAAATTAAATTGGTTAAACAAGAGAAAATCCATTAGATTTACTCAGAAGTCGCATTAGTGAGCTCTGTATATACTGACAAGTGTGACAAAATTTCCTTTAATGGAATATCAGCTGGGATCATTCGCAGTGTTTCGGGTATCCTAAGCGAGCTCTCATCTGTTTTCACCAAATTTTTCGTCCTAATGAAAATTTGTAAGTTGAAAACGGGACATCGCAATAATGCGAGAGCCGAGAAAACGAAGGGCTCGGTTGTTCATCAGCCGACGGTGTTGCTCACTGTCCTTTTCTCCTGGTTGTTTTTTGTATTGCAGAAGGAGGAATACGGAGGAAAACTTTATCGCGATTCCCCTGAAATGATAATTATTATTATCTGCCAATATCTCAATGATTGTCACCATTAAAAATTTGTAACTCCTCGGAGGAGTGAATTGACAGAGATAAATAAATATAAAGGGGTAAAGAAGGAAGAATAAGAGTGGATGAGAGCGTCATGCCCGGTGAGATCGATACGGGCGGGCCAAGGGTGCTGCATCGTAATCCCGACTGTCCAAAATCGGTCTTCACTCAGGAGGAGGACAACACGGTGCAGCCCGCTGAGTATGAGAATACTGGTGACCAACGTGGAGTCACTTGCTGGCCTGGACTATCGAGAGAATCCTGGCAAGTGCAGAAGAGAAGGAGAAGAGAGTGGAGACGCAGACGAGTGTCTGAAAAGTCCACCGTTACTAATGACAGCAATAAGCTCGTGGGGAGTCATCAGGAAGTGGCGCATTGTCTTCATGACTGGAAGACAGAAGCATCAGATCATCGGCAGGATCAACGAGATTCTGTTGAACCCCAGTGGGATCCTCACTTTCGCCTGGGCGCCGTGGAAACAGCCCTGCGAGGATCTCCAGAGTCTTCTGAGGAGTCTAGTCAATGTTTTTCATCATCGAATAATCATAGATACATCAGCATCAGCTCAAATGAACAAGTTAGTTGTCAGTACAGAGTGATTAATACGTGGTTTGTTAATTCACGTGACAATCGTGCGGAGTGTAAATTTAATGTTGAAGGGAGAAAGACTAAATGGCCGTCGAAGAGACAATTTTATTTCGAGTGTGTGCTACTATTACTGCTTATTGTGATTGGACACACGAGGGTAGTGAAAACGAGTTTAAGGATAGCTACTGTTGGTACGTTGTTCGGGGTAGTCGAAGCCGCTCCGGTAGACCTGGACGCTGGCATCCGGGCCGAGAGGTCAGCCAATTTGTCGCACATCACTGGGGCATCGAGGAAAATACGGATGTACATAAAAAATCGGCATCTTCAAATACTGCCGGATGGCACTGTCAACGGATCCAACGACGACACTTCAGATTACAGTGAGTAGAAGATCTTAATTATGATTATGTATTGTCGAATCGGGGCGATCAAGCTATCCCCCCCCCCATCGGTGATTGATCAATTAGTAAACAAACCGATCGCGTTACGTAGTCTGTGTTTTAGAATTGGCGAATTTAAAGATAAAGAACGATTGGAACGCAACTGGGCGGTCCGATCCAAGAATACACTGGTTATACTGGCGCGCTCCATTAAGTAGTCCACGGATGCATCCCAGCAGTACACAGTTGTTCGCACGCAAGTGTCTTTTTACTCATCCTTCTCACATTCAATACAAAGTAGTTACCACTTGGCGGTGATTTTATTTTACCACAGCACAGGCTCACTCAGCTGTTTGATTGCCTCTCTCTCAACAGACGTAACGACTCGTACCTCATCAATTGATCTAAAATTGTTTTATCCCTCATGGTTGATTCTGCCGTGGTAAAGCCCAGTCAGATCGTATGAAATGGTCTTTTCCATTTACTTCACCACTTAATATTTACGAAAGAGCTATTGTCCATTTGAAAATGGATCGAATGAACACCTTGGAACCTTACCAAGGCACAGGTTGACCACTGGCGGCAACTCACAAACCAGCAAGTGAGCAATACGGGAATAGCGTGACTACTTCAATCTCAGCCACTCTCTTTAGATAATTGAAGTTAAACATTCCGGGTAGCGGCGACGACAGGATCCCCACTGGATCAATCATTGTGGAATCCAGCCTATACTAGGCAGTTACCCAGCGATATCACGTTGCAATGTACTCAGTTACCTTCTAGATCGAACGCGCTCTTCTATCATCCTCCACCCCCTTTTCTCTGCCCCTTTGATTTCCGTCTCACCTGTTTCGTTTCAATGATAGCATTGAATTCTCATCCCACCGAGATATGCGTCTCAACATCAAACATCATTGCCGATCGAAACTGTGAAGAGTCCATGGACTTAACGAGGTACCAGTAATTGATATTTTTCCAAACGATGATAATTAAATGCTCCATCGGCCGTATGATCATTCGCAAGGAGTCATATTGATTGTCATCAGCGCATTGACTCGTACTATTCGCCTATCAAAGACAATCTGACCGACTTATTTCCCAGTATACGTGATGCGCCAGGAAATTGGACGCAACATTCGCAAGTTATGTTGTCGATCGGCTTGTTAGTTTTACTTCTTCCACCATTCGAGTGTCGTTGATGGTCATGAAGAAACTGTGAATCTACTCGGGGTCTGCTTTGTTACCTTATAGGCGACCGTCACAATTTTCGATTGACGTTTGCGCCTGTGTCTATCCAGGGACAGACTGTGCACACGGAGAGAAATTTTTGATAAAAATTATCCTACCGTTCTATAGAAGTGTATCATGAGTCATTGTTTCCTCATTTCTATACCGAAATTTAGTAAAAATTAATGTATGATGATCAAATTTTATTCTACGTTAGAGAAATTTTATCCTGACGCATAATAAATTTTACCCTTCCAGTTCAATAATTTTTATGTAGATAACAACGAAAATTCTAGAACGGTTGGTAAATTTTACCCTACCGGTACAGTAATTTTTACTCTACCGGCGCGGTAATTTTTATTTTTATCAAGAAAAAATTTCTCTAACGCAGAATAAAATTTGATCATCATATATTAATTTTTACTAAATTTCGGGATAGAAATGAGGAAACGAGGACTCACGATACACTTTTATAGAACGGTAGGATAATTTTTATCAAAAGGTTCTCTCCGTGCAGCGGTGTGTTTCTGCACACCGAGTGAATCCATCTATTCCCGCAATCGCGACAGTTTATGTGAAGAAACTCGCCAAACAACTGTCGCTGGAGTTCACTCGATGATGAAAATTAAATTTTTATCTTTGAGAGATGGTTCATTCGAGGAATTCATGCTATAGACAATCAATCATCCTGGGGACTTTTTTTTGACAAATTGAATTGTTTGAAATGATCGCGGATAGTCCTTTATGTTGACCACACTTATCATCTTTATCAACTGATCTTTTAGAATATCGAGAAATGAGTGCCATTCCACAATGTCAGATAGGACACTGAAAATCCGAATGGTGAATGTAAGGTAGTGGTTGGCCATTGAGAATTGAATGTGTAGTTTATCAGCCTAGCATTATAATATGTGATTAGCCAGAGCCGGAACTCGAGGCGGCAGCAGAGTTCAAAGGGTTATGGGCTTACAACCGACGCATCACGTAGCATCGAAGCCTCTACCTTCGCTTGTGCTCCTCCCACTTCAGCTTCCCTCAACGAAGGTTCTTTCGTAAAAACATTCTCTAACCTGAATGCAAGGGTGCACGTATGCTTCATGTAAGAGCCGGCCTGCGAATTATACCTGGTCACGCGATTACTGCTCTTAATGCGACTTTTCACTAGGAGCATAACATACTAGGAGGTCGGGCAAGAACATATGGTGAAGGATTCTCATTGAAACCGATGTGGATCCGGCATGTCCGATGGTAGTGGCCTTAATTAATGGCATGAAGATTCAATCCGGATATATAATTTTCTTAGTAATTTGATAGATGAATTTATAGACATATCTGGGGAGAATTTTCTAGAATCTGGTATTTCAAGTCGACTAGTGTTCAACCGACATTTCCTCTCGATAACGCCAATGCAACGCACTCTCAATTGGTTTGAAAAAATCAGCGTACTGATGTATATCTATATTCTCGGAGGGTACATTAAACTGTACAATATAATTGTATCAGAGATAATAACGACTTCACACGAATGCGGAAACGTGTGATGCCAATGCTGTGGGCGTGAATTTAACAGATAAAACCATAGTCTTCCACGGATACACGAGGGGTTATGTGTGCTCTGTAATACTTGAGTGTTGACCTACCTCAATTGCCGTGGTAATAAACCATCTCGTGTGGAGTCTGCATCCCTGGAACACACACGCTGCTACATGAGAAATAAAACGGGCTAACTGATTCGCTGTTTCTTTCTGTGGGAAATAAGAAAAGAAAGACAATCAAATGTTCTGGGGAATTTTTTTTTTCAACTGTAGTTCATTTTGCCATTGTGCCACATGCTTCTTTTATCTTGTATGCTCCACTTTTCGGATTATGACCTCGTTTTATCATTCCCCTAAGCAAATTATGGTAATGGTGGACTCTTTGGTTTTATCTTATCTCTTGGCGCGTTTCCGAATTCTCGGGGTATTGGCAAATTGCCCTGATTAAGTCATTCAAGTATCTCCTAAGTTCCATCCGGAGAGCGCATTAACCGTGAGGAATGATATATCGAATGTTCCTGGTTCCGAAGTATTAGATCTAGAGGAGACATCTGAAGTGTTGGAAGTCTCGTCAGACAGGTGATGATCGTCTCTTGATCATCACCTGTCTGACTTCAGTCTCAGTTCAAAATAATTTAGAGCTTCAAAATTATCAGGAATTTCCCGATAAGTTGATTTTTTAACCTGAAAAATTTGATTCCTTCGTTTGTTTGTAGGGAACCTTAAGGGAAATACCTAATTAATTTTGAAGCTCGAGTGATATTCGGAAAAGAAGTTTTCAATCCAAATTTCGGCCAAGAGAAAGCACTATGTGACAAAATCCATCTGTCAGTTCCAATAAGGGGCTTACACGACTCGAAATCAATAAAATACTTGATTTTTCAGTTCAATTATTCTGTGAAAATTCAGCAAAATCAGGAAAATTCAGGGAAAAATTGAAAATTGATGTCATCTTGTTTTTGAATATTCATATTCCACTGAAAATCCTATCAAGTTATAAAATTTCCATCTCACTCCCACTGTAACCTCATGAATTTCCGTAAATTCTATTTAAAACTTGAAATTTCGTACCCATTTCTTCCGTAAATTCGATTCAATGGCATTCTTATGAGATTTACTGTATAGTCTCCCGTGGAGACTATTTGGCTCCCATGAAATTTCAATAAAAATTCTAACAGTGTGGATAGGCGATTTCTAGACCAAAAAACAAATTGGTTTGAAGGGGTTCTTGTTGAGTTGGTCCGTATGGTTCATTCAGTCGATGTTTGACCCTTATATTAGAGAAACTGATAAAACATTCACTTATAAACAACAAAAATATGCATAGGTGGATGATAGAAAAGGGAGACGTTAGGAGGGGTGCACCTGTAACGCTCGGCGGGCAATACAGCTTAGCCGGTTTTTTCCACAATTATGAGCTGTGAATTTTTCTTGTTTTTCTTAGGATGTCTGACTTGATGAAACGATGTAGTTTTTCGAACAATTTCACTCCATTTACCACTTGGAAGATAAAGGAACACAAAACGAACTAAATAATTTGTTTGTAGTTTATTGTAATGATGATAAGTCTGCAAAATTCAACAATATTGAGCAAGAAATGTCAGAGGAACTAAAAATGTTTCAAAGTCCCACGACTGGAAATTTTTGGCAGTTCATGAAGAACTTGGAAGAATTGGACAAATAGTAAGGGCATTCTTTTCGGTAATTGGTCTAGCTTCCTATTATCACTGGTCAGACCGAAGAGATTGTAAAATTTAGAATAAAAATTGACCACACTGTTAGAAATTTCTTGAAATTTCAGACACAGCGCCATCTGAATTTTCGATGGTGTGAGGTTGAATGCAATTTCAAATGAAAGCGTTCACTAAATTTCTCATTCATCTTAGAAATTCAGGAAAATTGGGTTTTTCATGTTAAATAATCATTGATTTTTCAATGAAAGCTTGAATTTCCAAACTCATCTTGAAAATTCACATACCAATTACATTTTCAATAGATTGAGAATTCTGAAAAGTTGTTGCCTGAATTTTCAAAATTTCCAAGGTTTTTCCGTGCCGTCTGGACCTTAAAATCGAGAATTACTTCAATATTCAAGAAATTAATTGACTAGTCAATGGAGAAAAACACAGAAATTTCATGTAACTTTGTCGTTATTAAAAATTTCAAGCTTTTTCACTTTGAATTTCAAGAGTAATTCTCAAACAGTCCAAGATAGTTGGTTTTTAGCCGCCGAATGCG